TATCAAGGGCCAATCGAAGTGATACCTGATGCACTTCAATATATGTAAGCGCAACGTTTTTAAATGGGCAGCTGCAGTTTGTAGCTTAATGATCTACCTTATAAAGAAACAAATCATCAGAGCCCCTAGATTGTCACAACGATGCGGATGTTGTGATTAAATTGCAACTCAAACCAACACTAAACGTTACGCAGGCGTTTATGAGAAAATTTACAAGCATTGACAGTGGTCGCACCTAAAATACGCTGCATGGGCGTGCGGATCTGCGAGCGTCGAGGACTGCGAGCGAAAAGAATCGTACACATTCGGCGCTCAATTCTGCTGGGTTTACACACCCACATAGCGCTGACGTTCTCCAAAACTAAGTATAAGGAAGTTTAGGACCGGTGGACGCAAGCTTTGTTCTCGTGACGGGATGGTTTCAGCGTGGGACGCTCTGCATGCCGATATTGTCCTATCCTCCTGCCTGAATTCATTCACTTACCACCCACACTCACCCACGCATGAAAGCAGGTTAGAACGCTTAGTAGCTGATATTGTCTTCCCCACATGTCTGAATTCATTTGGTGTTAAACTCAACACACATTATACCTTACACTTGCTAACCATACAAACCCATGCATCATCAAATTACATGTCATTATACCACAATCAATACGTTTTTACGAGTCAATCTGCATCTGTGTGCGCATTGTATACAGCTACTCGCTTATGACATACAACAATGTAAACAATCTCCTATTCAGCAAACTCTATATATTGAAATTTATTCGATATTTGTAAAACAGACAGTAAGGTTAACGTAGTGTGTCTATATTACCCAGAATAAGAAGAATACATAGTCATCGTTAGGCAGTCAGCGCACAATAAGCACATTTTGGAGGACATTTTATAGAAGTAATTGAAATTTTTGTGTATTACGCGTGTTCGCTGGGTCATTTAATTTTGTCGAAAAAGGCTGTTTACACGTATTGCAGAGTGAGAGCTAAGGCTTATGAAGTAAGTCAAAACGGCTTGGATTTGAATGCACATATTACAAACTTTGTCATAATGGAGTACTCTCTACCTTTTCCAAGAACTTCTGCAATACTTTCTTGAAGGTATGTATTGTGAGACTTTATTCCCCCAAATTAGTGTATGCAAACGACGTATTTGACGTTTACATTCCAGCGAATTACGCTTAGTCATAGCGGCCAATTTTTATTTTGCGAACATAAATGTAATTATTGTCCGTGGAGAGTAATCAAATGAATAGTCCTCCATGACTACTTGAACGGCGTAGAATTAAACTGAAGCCGTTAACTTCATTAGCAAGTCCTTTACAAAAAGCGATCCAACAGCACGTTCATTTTAGAAATGCCGTGCTATTTCTGATATAGTCCACCTTCAAAATGCTGGATCTGTCCTATGCATGAAACATTACTTTTCTCGAAATCTATCGAGGACAATATGACTGAAAGTCATCAGAAATAAATTGAGTTTTATGTGGTTGGTTTGTACAGACTATCATCGGTTTATTATTCTACTCATCAGTGCTGCAAAGACAGCCTTGTGGTACTTTGCAATGGAAACATTTTAATTTAACATATTTGCATTATGTAAAATTGCATATCTTGTACTTTGCATCCACGACTGAAATCACAAGAAGTATTACAGTCGTATGCGTGGCCGTAACTAATTAAAGTTACATTGGCAAAATCGGACCGCTAAAGACTTGGGCATACTCGAAAAAGTTCAACGGCGAGCAACAAAACTTGTATCTGGGCAGTGGTCACTACCCTACGAAACGCGATTAGCTAATCTTGACTTCTTTCCTTTGAGTTACAGACAGCTACGTGGGGACCTGATACAAGCTTTCCGCATCGTGCGCAATCAGGGCTGCTGTCTCGCGTTTGGAGACTTCTTCGAGTTGGCGACTACGACTAACCTGAGAGGCCATCCACTCAAACTGCGTGTGGCTGGCGCCCGGCCAGACACCCGAAAGTTCTTCTTCTCCAACAGAGTGGTTGCAGCTTGGAATGCCTTGCCTGAGGGTGTTGTTATGTCAGGCTCGGTAGATACTTTTAAATGGAGACTAGATCAGCATTGTAGCGCGCACCACAATAACGCCGGACTACGGCCACCTTGACAGCCAACGCGGACAATTTAGTGTTATAACGATGCTACTACCAACATTTAAGTAATATATGTTTATGTTATTTATTAAGCTTGGGCCACGTCGCACACCGCTGTTCGCAGTCACCACGATGCCTGTAGACTAAACAATTTTACCTCTTTTTCCAGTGTCTTAAGTGTGCCTCAACTGTCCGCTGTATTTTGATCAACAAAGCAAGTTAATGTGCCTCTAAACTCTGTTAAAGCATGACATTCTGTGTTAATCTGTACAGTTTTTGCTATTCCCCTCGCATTTTTTTTATGTTACTTCCTTTCCATTTCCTCCACATATATCCTCTGCATGTAACCGATAGGGATTTCAAAGGTACACACCTACTTTCCCTGAAATATACTGATACTGATACTGATACTGTCTTCCTAATTAAATCGCACCACAAATAATCCATATGTTTAAGAAATCAAACAAATTATCCGTAGTCATCTTGGGATATATACTTAGTGTGAAGGTTGTTGGCAAACCCCATACCTGACCAGTTCACTAAAATACTATTTTCGAAGATTATTCAATCCCTGTTATCATTTTAACTCAGTGCTTTACACGCATACACTTCTTACGATGGAAGTATACGCAAATGCAGCATTACTTACATTTTCGGAATTTCCTACTTTTCTGAAAAGTGATTATAGCTAATAACGTTACATTACCTTTAATATCTCTTTTGTGTTTCCATTCGCTTAACGTTGCCCTTTGTTTACACAGATATCAGGTTAATGCATTAATGTCGTTTTTGGGTTACTTAGCGTGCATTCGTTAATTTCGACACCCTCCATCAGCTAGGTCAATAACTGCATACTGAACTTCCTATTTAAAATCTTTCGCATGTTAAACGTCCTTTGGCAAAAAGTTAAATTGACTTTATTGATTTTTAAAATACGCAAAATCCTCAAATGAATAAACTGTCCAGCATAGTGCATGCTCCTTCAGATGTTACCATTAAAAATATGGCGTGGGTCAGACCAGGTCACATGTTTACTGAAAGATGCAACTGAGTTACTGCCGACCAGGAGATAAAGAAAGACCTAACACATAGTCGCGATCTGAGAAAAGGTTTGGAAGTAGTATCTTACGAGGACGCAAATTAAAACGAATGAACACTTGGCTACAACAGCGGTTCACGTTTTCGACGACTCAAAGCACAAAGGGGTGATATAATAAGCAGCTCCAGAAAGTTGCTTAAAGTGACTTGCAGCACCAAAGCAGCATTAAGACGATGATAAATCAGGCTTTTTGCCCCTGATCCCTCTTGGGAAGATAAGGCAAAGTAAGAATCGAAAAGGAGCAGAAACATATAACATTTTCGAGACCTTACAGGCATTCGAGACGAAAACGACAGGCGATTTCAGAAATGACGTATTACACCCACATGGGCTTGCTGTACTGTAGCTCATCTTCCGAATATCGTATTTATGAATTTTTTTGGAACTTGTCAAAATAAATTGCTTATCCCAAAAGGAGGAGTAAAGTTGATGAGCATGGGAAATGTACTGCGACTGCCGTTCTATCGTCCGGACGACAGTGCTGCTGAAAGCATGGAACACTTAGATAATATTCCTTCTTTCCTGGTCACCTGACGACAACGACGTTGTAAGTTAAAACACTTTTTTAAATGTCGACCACTGATTCGGGAATCTAACTTCTAGCTTTAGATTACATAATTGGTCCCGGATGCTATGACGCCTAAGCGAGAATGTTTGCGGTTATTCCGTCAAGCCTATTAGAAGCTGCTACCGACTGTCCTCTTTGGGGTCAAAGATGGATCGCGTCAGATGACTTAAAATGGCCAAAAAGCGAGAAATGTAGTTTTACTTAGATACCCATATGAGATGCATCATTCGACAGTTTACTGGCGGACCTTTCCTGCTGGTGTCAGTATCATGTGGATGGTTGCTATTTTTTTCTTGAGAGCCTTATCATAACGGCCGATGATCTGTGGGTTTACGATTTGGCCGCCCCTCCCTGACGATGTTCTGGGTGATGTCTTCCCTAAATGCAAACAGTTTTGGGTAGTAGGCAATAGTGACCTCCTACGCTGCATAATTTAGGAGACAGTATGTTCATTTATTTCAGGTTTACAATACATACTGCACGGACTACATCTTTCATAGTCAGGATAAGAAGTTAGCTTGCAAATGCTCATTCTGAAGAAGAAGAAGAAGAAGAAGAAGAAGAAGAAGAATCGAGTACCGGAACAATTCGTTTATTATCCTGAGCTTTCAGACTCGTACAGGAGTCCATCGTTAGAGGTAGTGGCAGAAACAGAACAAGCGGCAGTTATAAGGCACGTAGACCCAATCATCGACCGACGTCGCACGACTGGAGGTGACTACGAAGGGCTCTGTACGCCGGCGCCAGATCGATAAATCGATTGACCGAGTTCTCATCCGAGGCCCAGGCTTCAATCAATTCTCGGCCTGTTTTGTTTCCGGCGTGGGCAACTATTTTGGTGGCCGCGAAGTCAAACTCGTGCCCATTTCGTAGGTGTGGGCGGCCACTTGTGACAATGCGTCGCCTCGCCGCACAGCCAGCTTATGTTCATGTATGCGCGATCCGAGCATGCGTCCAGTCTGTCCTGTGTAATTACAAGGACAATTTTGACACGGGATGCGATACACTACTCCAGATTGCTCTTCAGGTTTTAACCGGTTTTTGATCTTCATGACCCTGTTGCGCATGGTGGCTTTGGGGCTGTGTGAGATTCCAACCCCTAGCTCCACAGCAATGCGCTCGGTCGCTTCTGAAACACCCCTGATGTATGGCAGAGAATGCCATATCGTCGGTGGCGTTGATGTTTGAGTTCTCTGGTGGCGACCGCGTAGGCAGCGACTTATGAACGCCCTCGGTCGCGGAGATAACGGACCTCACGCGCTCTATCTTCCAGTTTGCTGCAATGAATTTGGATCCGTTTGAAGAGCGTCTTCATACAGCTTCGTTTGTGAGCCACCGGATGGTTGCTGTGAAAACTGAGAAGCTGTGTGGTGTTCGTTGCCTTCCTATAAACCGTCGTTTCAAGTTCACCGTTAAGGTTTCGTCTGACGAGCACATCCAGGAAGGGCAACTGCTGCTCCTGTTTATCTTCTCTCGTGAATTTTATATCCGGGAAGACTGCGTTGAGCAGGCTGTGAAAATGTTGCAGCATGTCCTTCTTTACGATGACGAACGTGTCGTCAACGTAACGTCGCCAAAACACCGGTTCATGTTGGAGGAAGGCAATATTTTCCAACTCCTGTAGGACCAGTTCTGCCACCAAACCGGAGACCGGTGAGCCCATTGGGGTTCCCTTGATTTGTTCATAGGTCTCTCCTGCAAAAGTGAAGAAAGTTTGTTGGCAGAATTCAAACAGCCTCATGAGGTGTTCAATTTTGAGGGCATTCTGAGTCTCATCGTACGCCTCTTCAAGTCTCTTGCGCAAGACTTCGCGGGCCACGTTTGGTGGGATAGATGTGAATAACGACGTCACATCGAAGGAGACCATGATTTCGTCCGATAGAATTCTCCGACCTCGGAGGTCTATGAGGAATTGAGAGGCTGATCGAACTGAGGTAGTCGAATTGCCTTGGAGGAACTTCAGTTTTGAGTACATCCACTTTGCCAAATTGTAGTTGGGGCTGCCTTTTAGGGCAGCGATTGGCCGAAGTGGGACATTTGCTCATTCTTTACGTGAGCATTATCCCATTCATAACTACGTGAGATCCGCGCTCTGTGACTTTTATTAGTGTTGTAAACATTGCCTGTCCAATTACTCCGTAAGCTATTGTGCGATTCACTTACAAATGAATTAGAAAGGCACACTTTCTCATCATCCAAGGGCTTTCAAAGTAAAAATGGCTTTGAATCAAATTTATATTTCACAAGGTCGAATGCACCCAACACAATTCTTAAATCCTGAAACACACTAAAATGAGCAAAATGAACATCTTTGTAAGTGATATTAATTTTCTAGGGAAAAAAGATGTTAAGACATGCTCCACGGCAAAAGCTTTGCTTGTGAAGTTGGTACTTCGATTTATTGATCATTTTGCCCGTCGAGGAATAAATGCAAATTCGTCCAGTAATATGCTCTTGAAAATGAACTCATTCAAGTTTTTAAATGTGAGACCTGTCATTTGGATATTTTCCACGCCATGTATCATATGCTACGATGTCACAAAGGCTTCTGCACGAGCACTCGTCACGTTGTACTCATATTCCGTTTCGTAGTACCTCGAAAGATTGAAATTTTCTTTTATGCTAAACAGTTGAAATAAAAAAGTGCTGGTAGCAAAGGATACGAATAGGAATGTGGTAACCGTAAAGGGTGTAGATGGAAATGTAAGAGAGCTTATGTATGTCCAAGGCCTCTTGCAGTGGGTATATTGAAAAAACACGGTCGTGAACAATTATCGGATGTCGAATAACGAGCGTATTCGACGTAGGAATCACGCCGAGGAACAACGCTTCGTGATGAAGTATACGAATTGAATTTAGAAGATACCGCGCCACTCCAGTAAGTTTTTTTTTTCAGAGTCTGGACATCGCGTAATTTTCTGAACTAGGAAATAAAAAAATGTGGTCTAATATCTAAGTAAAAAACTTACGCATTCACAAAGCTCTGCCTTGAAGTTGAACTCATACAATCTGGATGATTGTACTAGCTACGATCCGCACGTAAAATGTAAGTAAGCAGTTTTCCTTAAACACAACACTTTTTGTCAAATGTATATAAGCTAGGTCTAAACCCATTAAATACTTAGGCGTGCATTTGAGTGAAATTGGTTATTACGAAACGTCATGCGATTTTGAACATTGCGCACATGAATTCAAGTCATCAACAGTAATACAACCTGCTAAAAGGACCCGCGCATTCGAATTTCTCCCTCTTCACAACGGTGATAACTGCTAAACCTGTTACGTTCAGGTTGGAGGTAAGTACTTTATGCGCAATCTCCATTAGGTAACGCGGCCCTATCCCAGCAATATATATGTAGTCGAGTAAATGCCTATCCTTTGATCCAGCAAATGCACAACTGCTTTGTGCTTTAAACATGAGGATTCAGTCTATCGGATTCAAAAGATATGCATTGAACATTCACTGACGGAGATCCGGGAAATTTTAATTAGTGAAGTTTATCCTACCACTTAGGTCACCCGAGGGCACTCACTGCGGACTAAGAGGGTTGCTGTCAGCAAGGATGGGAGAAAATATTAGTCAAGCTCATTACAGGACACTTCATTTGGGATCATAAAAGTCGTTTTAGCAGAACCCATGAACAATACTTTGAGACCTACGGCAATGGCGCAAAATGCGGGAAACAAAAGTTTTATCGTAAACATCATTAGTAAAGTCCATGGAACGCTTTGGTCACCTAGTAAATCCATGTGGATTAGAATGAACCAGTTATTTTTTGTGTAAGGTTTGCTCCTGCAGCCCATGGTAAATGATGACATGTGTAAAGTAAAAGAGATATAAACATTAGACTGTATGTGTACTTTTTATGTGTTGAAAGGGGACATAAGTCAAATTGGAATTCTTACGCAGATGTTGCCAGATGCAAGGTAAGTATTTTGTCAATATTACGTTTCTCCCATCCATTTAGCGTTGTGAATTGAACAACTCGACGAATCATGACTGTTAAGATCACAAGTGATGGGCAATTTCAGCTAAATAAGTCGGCATTAATATGTCTCACGCTCAATTATTCACCACCTTCGCTTGGCGTCTGATCATCAAACAATACTACATACGATTACAACGTTTGTGTCAACAGAATGATCTCAACTTCTAAGTACACCATGTCGTTAAAATTGGCTTTTTGGAAGTGCTTGTACATGCACTGACAAAAACACATAAAACATCAAAAGAAGAAAGACAGAGATATCTTCATTTCAAATTGTGAAGTGCACAAATATTCCTAATATACTACGCGTCCCCATCCCAATAATCATGTTGAATTACACTTTAATTATTTTTTAATGATTAGTTAGGGTTGTTTTTTTCCGTAGTCGCTATTTCATGTTAGCTGGACCTTCGGCTGAGCTCACATCCAGCACTTCACTTGTGCAGTGTAAAAGGAGAATTTCGAAAAAAGCCTGGTTGGCAGCGAGGACGATTTCAGAAGTTGCCTTCGTTAACAATAATGCACTCGGCCATGGTTCCGCACATGCCTAGTTCTTCTCAAAGTGTTGGCTTAAATGCGGGAATCCGAGGGATTTCACCTCAAGCGTTGCATTGTTGTGAGAAGTGTACCGTAGTAGCGCAATGGCGGTTGAGTTAACGCCAGTTAAATTGCAAGAAAATCCACCTGTGATTGTTGCACGGTATTTACTACCAATAAGGATAGGCATCTGAAATAAATAATCAGGCAAATCAATGTCTATCCCCATGATCAATCAATGGTAGAACTAAATTTACTAACCGTTTCGGAAAACTGCAGCGTAAGGCGAGAATAGAAAAATTCATACTCGAATGTTTCCAGATTACTTGGTAACGTCTTGTTTAAAAGTCGACAAATGGTGCCGATTGGAGGAACGCGGATTATTATTGTGAAAA